TAGATAAATATAGATATATATACACCACATTTTCTTTATCCACTCACGAATCGATGGGCATTTAGGTTGATTCCACATCTTTGCAATTGTGAATTGTGCTGGAATAAACATTCGAGGGTAGGTGCCTTTTTTATAAAATGATGTTATTGTCTTTTGGTAGTTACCTAGTAGTGGGATTGCTGGGTCAAATGGTTAAGTCTACATTTATTTCTTTGAGGAATCTCCATACTGTTTTCCATAAAGGTTGTACTAATTTGCAGTCCCACCAACAATGTATAAGCGTTCCTTTTTCTCTTCATTGATGCCAGTATCTATTGTTTTTTGACTTTTTAATAGTGGCCATTCTGACAGGGGTAAGGTGATATCTCATTGTGGTTTTAATTTGCATTTCCCTGATGATTAGGGATCTTGAGCATTTTTTCATATGTTTGTTGGCCATTTATCTTCTTTTGAGAAAATTTTGTTCATGTCTTTTTCCCACTTTTTGATGGAATCATTTGTTGTTTCTTGCTGATTTGTTTGAGTTCTTTGTAAATTTTGGGTATTAGTCCTTTGTTCGTGAATATTTTCTCCCACTCTCTAGGTTGTCTATTCACTCTGTTGATTATTTCCCTTATTGTGCAGAAGCTTTTTAATTTAATTGTGTCCCAGTTGTTTATTTTTGTTGTTGCTGTATTTGGCTTTGGGGTCTTAGTCATAAATTTTTTGCCTAGTCTGATGTCTAGAAGAGTTTTTCTATGTTTTCTTCTAGAATTTTAATGGTTTCATGCCTTACATTTAAGTCTTTAATCTATCTTGAATTAATTTTTGTATATGATGAGAGACATTGGTCCTATTTCATTCTTCTGCATGTGGCTATCCAGTTTTCACAGCATCATTTATTAAATAGGGCTTCCTTTCCCCAGTGTATGTTATTGTCTGCTTTGTCCAAGATCATTTGGCTGTAGGTAGATGGTTATACTTCCCGGTTCTCTATTCAGTGCCATTAGTCTACGTCTTTTATACCAGTACCATGCTGTTTAGATTACTGTAGCCTTGTAGCATAATTTCAAGTCAGGTAATGTGATACCTCCAGATTTGTTCTTTTTACTTAAGATTGCTTTGCTATTTGGGCGCTTTACTGATTTTAAATAAAGTGTAGGATTATTTTTTCTAGATCTGTGAAATATGACACTGCTATTTTGATGGAGATTGGATTGTATCTGTAAATCGCTTTGGGCAGTGTGAACATTTTAATGATGTTAATTTTATCAGTCCATCAGAATGGAATGTTTTTCCATTTGTTTGTGTCATCTGTGATTTCTTTCATCAGTGTTTTCTAGTTCTCCTTGTAGAGATCTTTCACCTCCTTGGGTAAGTATATTCCTAGGTGTTTTATTTTCTTTGTAGATATTGTGAATGGTATTGAGTCCTTGATTGAACTTTCAGCTTGACTGTTATTAGTGTATAGAAATGCTACTGATTGGTGTATGTGGATTTTGTAACCTGAGACTTTGCCGAATTTATTTATTTATCAATTCTAGGAGTCTCTTAGTGGAGTCTTTAGGGTTTTCTAGATACAAGATCATATCATCAACAAACAGGGATAGTTTGACTTCCTCTTTCCTGATTTGGATGCTCTTTATTTCTTTCTCTTGCCTGAACAACAAAAAAATTAGCAGGTTTAGAATGTCAGTAGTGCCAAGGTTGAGAAATTCTGGTCCAACCCCAGGCCAGCTCTCTTTCTACTTCAGTCTTGTCCCAAGATGCTGCACTGTTTGTTCTAAGACTTATTTACTGATGATAGAGATTCAGGTCATTTTGACTAGCAAAAGCAGAGCAGCACATGTTCAAGTGCACATGGTTATTAATCATAGAATTAGGGTAGGAATCATGGAACTGTGAGGAATAAAGTCCAGTTTGTTTCCACATCTCAAGGCAAATACCTCATTTAGACAAGTAGTGCCAATCAGATGACTTTTTTTTTTTTTTTGAGG